AGTTGCTCATGTGCACCTAATTGGCCTCATCCACCCAGTCGGCCATGCTCCCCCCCCCACAGCCCTGATGTGGCCCTCAATGAAATTGAGTTTGACCCCCCTTTCTTTTTCCTTGGGCCTGCCTTTAATGTTTCTTTCAGTCCCTCGGAATCTGAGAGCACTTTTCCTGACCTTATTCAAAGGCCATGCCAGGCTGGAAGGGCGCTGCCAGTCTCCTCTTGACTTTTTGCCATCATGGGCTACCGCGGCTGGCCTTGCAATGTTTTGGGAGGAGTCTTGGCTAAAAGGCGCACCAAAATGGAGAAGAAAAGCGCTCTTTCAAAAGTAAGCAGCTCCCCAGACCTGCTCCTGCTCCAGTAAAGTAAAGAGAAACCTTTCCAGCATCTCATCTTGCTCGCTGTGCCACTTTTCGGATTCTCTCGACTTCCTCTGAAGTGTGACCTAAGTGTCTGGAGCTGTGTTGCAGCTGTTCTTTTTTTTATTCACTGCTTGGTTTCTTCTTGGGAGCAGATCCTGCTCTCTTGTCCTGATGAATGGGCTGCAGTAAATTTTGAGTGTGACTCTATGCGTCTCTTCCTCCTCCTTCGCAGAATGGGGCCCATTATTCAGCTCAGCCGAAGCCAATGGGGCTCTGTTCTACAAAACAGTACGAATCTTTGTTCTTTCGAATAGCAGGTCTTGGCAAAAGGCAGGAGAGGTTGGGTGAGCCCAGCATCCCTTCCAAGGATTCACTTTGAAAGATCTGCATGAGAATAATTTTTGATCACTGTCAACAGATGTGCTGTTTAAAATCTATCCTCCTTCCCTTCCCTTCCCTCCCTCTTTCTTTCCTTTCTTCCCTACCTCCTGACCTCTTTCCTTCCTTCCTCCCTCACTTCCCTCCCTCCCTCTTTCCTTCCTTCCATACCCCCTGACCTCTTTCCTTCCTTCCTCCCTCCTTCCCTTCCCTCCCCCTCCTTCCTTCTTTCCTTCCCTCCCTACCTCCTTCCTTCCTTCCTTCCTTCCTCCCTCTCTCCCTCCCTCCCTCTTTCCTTCCTTCCTTCCTTCTCTCCCATCCCATCAATCACATACTCAGCTCATGCAATATCATCTGTTAAGAAAAGTAAGGATTGGATTTCAGCATTCTTCAGGGATGATTTTCTGAGTATCTTGTAAAACGCAAAATGATTTTCTTTCAAGTTTTTATAACCACAAACAATTCGTAAAAAATGCAAG